ATATATATATATAAAGCTTACTAATATTTTAAATATTATTGTGGGCTTCAATAAATAATAGAAGGATCTTAGTAAACTTTTTTTTTTAATTTAAACCTGGAAATAAATTTTTTTGTTAAGATAATGTAAAATAAAGAAAAGTTATGAAATAAAATCCACTAATTAAGTTAAAATACTTGTTATAGAATTACTAACCCTGCCTCCTATTATGCCTCCTATATAGTAGGCAAAAAGCTGTTGTAGTACATGTAGCCCTGCGTTCCATTCGCAAGGGCTCATCCCTATGCCCTAATCCCTTCAAAAGGTTTACCCTACGGAGTAAGAGCTTTGAAGGGTTGAAGGGTGTAGGGGACCAAACAACTGTTTCTTGAAGTGCCCTTCTGCGTCATCATCCCGTGCCCACACAGAGGCACCGTCATCATGCAAAGAATCTGTGCAAAGGATCATGGGAGCCCGAAGTGTCCATCAGTTGTACCCTTTGAATTCCTTCGTTCTGAACGGCCCTTTGAAGTGGCCAGTTTTGAGCACTTCAGTTTGGAATGACCCTTCAATATGGCGGCCATGATTGTTTTCACTCCGAAGTGCCCTTTGGAGGGCGATATATCCCATTTGGAACGCACCATAGTATGTCTGAGGGTTATTATAGTTAATTAAAACTTGAACCTAAAATAAACATTATACATTATATAAAATAAATGTAAAAAAATGTTTTTATTTCAACTAGTTTCCAAGGTGACATACATTTTCATTTAGTTTATTAGAATAACTAAAATTTAAAAAATAATTAAAACTATATAGACATGAAAAAAATATATATATAACAAAAACACACACAAAAAACATCTAAATTAAAATGAAAACGTAAAATATAAAAATGACTTAAAAATAGTAATAAAAGTTACAATAGTATCTCAGTTATACTAAAATAGCACTGGTATGTAGATGATCCAGATGATCCACTTCCACTGTAATTCTGAAGTGCACATCCAGTGGACACTTATCCCATAAGGCCAAAAGTGAGTAGGAGAATTCAGGAAAGTGACGCAACTGACCTTTGGTCACATAGCAAGGCCAACATGTGTTTATATAGTATGCCTGGATTGCAATCATACTACACACATACACACTTTATTGAACATATCATTTTTTTAAATAAATGTTTTAAAAAATGTAGTAGTACCTACTCAGCATGTGATTTCGGATGCACTGAAATTTTATTTCAATATTTTATGTTAAACTAAAGAAAATGAGGTTTTAGATTTTAGTTGTAGTTAACACTAATAACCCTGTACTGTGCAATTTGTGTTTGTTTTTGGTAAACAGCAAAAGTCTTTGTGTTTAGATCCATTAGGTCCATCCTGTTTCTTAAGAGAAAAGCGCAGACGTGTCAAAGGTCAGGTTCAGCTGAGAGCAGGTGGGTGTTAATTTTTAAAAGCGTGAGGCTTAGGTCTAAATGTTAATGTTTCCATATTCACTGCACAAACACAGACTGGCTCTTTGTGTCTGATTATCAGGGAGGAAGCGTTTTCTCAGGAAGCTGTGCTCCGGAGGCAGATCCGAGGGGAAGTGTTCAGTATCCTGAGCAGTTTGGCAGATCTCGGCAATGCCATTCATTGGATGCCGCCTGGATTTCTGTGGGCTGGACGGTTTCCTCCATGGCTGGTGGGACTGATGGGAATGACCTCCTCACTGATAGGCCTTCTACCGATCAGCTCTGGTGATCAAGGACTTGCAAATTTGCAGATTTCCTCTCAGACCTATTGGTTACTGTTGATAAAGCGCTAATTGTTGGCGATTTTAACATTTACATTGATAATACAAATGATGCATTAGGACTTGCGTTTACTGACCTAATAAACTCTTTTGGAGTCAAGCAAAACGTCACCGGGCCCACTCATCGTTTTAATCATACGCTAGATTTAATTATATCGCATGGAATTGATCTTACTGATATAGATATCGTACCTCAAAGCGATGATGTTACTGACCATTTCCTTGTATCGTGCATGCTGCGTATTACTGATATTAACTATATGGCTCCGCGTTATCGTCCGGGCAGAACTATTATTCCAGCCACTATAGATAGATTCACAAATAACCTGCCTGATTTATCCCAACTGCTCTGTGTACCCATAAATACACATGAACTAGACGAAATGACTAGCAACATGGGCACTATCTTCTCTAATACATTAGAAGC